GCAGCCACGCTCCGTCGAGACTAGTTAAATCCCAAGTGTCGATTACTTTCTGCTCTCCCGCAGTAGTCGGCACGACATCATGCACCATATCTAATCCACAGGGTTCATGAGGAAACAAACTCGGACAATAAATTAATCAGAGAAAAGTTAAGATGGAAATCACTGGTGAATATGAAGATAAAAGATGGACTGACTAACTTTATAAATGAGTCAAGGAGCAAGTCCATAATCAACAACAAATAACAAAAATAAAAAAAAATTTTTTCTTACATGTGGCTTGTGTGGCTTACAGTCACAGGTCTGCTGATAATTTTAGCAATAATTATGGACCATTTAGACTTTAGAATAGCTATATACCGCAGTAGCAATTTAGATATATAAACAACCAAAGTTCAAATAGTTTCTGCACCTTTTCCACTATAGGATTTGGTCAAAGGCTCCAACGGAATAATGGAATAACTCTTACAGTGGAATAATACTTATAGGATCGAATAAATACTATGGAAAACAACTAATAAACTTACGACTGCAACAACTTATTCAATCATATCCAGTTGAAAACATTTTCAATTGTGATGAAACTGCACTTTTTTATCGTCTGGATTCTGTTAAAACGCTAGCGCACGGCCCTGTAATAGGACGAAAGAAGGCAAAAGATCGCGTACGCTAATGTTTACCGTAAGTGCTACAGGAGAGAAATTGAAACCTCTGTTGATATCAACATCCATGACCACTCTATGGAATTGACAAAGACACTCTGGCAGTTCATTATTATTGGAATTCGACAACATGGATGCAGACTTCAATTTTCAATCACTGGCTTTGTAAACTTAATGAAATTATGCGCAAATCACGTCGAAACATTAGACAACGCCTCCTCGCACAAAATTAATGATGATACCACGTTGTCGAACATTACATTTTTTACCTCCTAATTGTACGGCACATTTTCAGCCGTGTAACACCGTATCCTTCCGAATTTAAGCACCACTTTTTTTAGGGGAAAATCGGGACAAAATTCCTAGTGGTGCTTAAATTCGGAAGATTTTTTTTGTACGCCATACCCCTTACTCCGCATCTTTTCTTTACGCAATGCCAAAAATTCAACGCTCATCATATTCTGCTGCTGAAAAGCTTAAAGTTTTGCAATATGCAGAACTTTATGGTATAAGAGTAGCTGCTCGTCATTTTAATATTGATCATTCAATGATTTCTCGTTGGGGAAAAATAGAAGAAAAACTCAAGTTAGCTAAAGGGAAAAATCGGCGTATTGGTTCAGGAAGAAAGGAAAAATATCCCGAAGCTGAAGCTAGTTTAAAAACGTGGCTTATAGAATTTCGAAAAGATGGTATTGCTGTAACCTCTAAAATGGTTTGACAAAGCAGTTTGCTCACATTTATCTGGATAGTAAAAATTTTCTTGCTTCAGAGTGTTGGTTTTATAGTTTTCTCAAAAGACATGGGTTTTCTTTACGACGTAAAACAAAGATCAGTCAAAAGCTTCCTGCTCATATTACTGACAAACTTTTAGAATTTCAGCGGTTTATTATTAAAAAGCGAAAACAATTTGAATATGAACTTTCTGAAATAGGAAACATGGATGAAACCCCTATTTTTTTTTATATGGTTGGAAGTTTAACTATTGAGAAACGTGGTGCGAAGACTGTGCAAGTCTGAACAACTGGAAATGAAAAAAAAATCGCTTTACATGTGTTCTTACAGTTCTTGCAGATGGTACAAAGTTATTGCCAATTGTTATTTTTAAAGGTAAGAAAATTCCAAAGAATTTACCTCCTAAAATTATTGTATTAATGCATCCAAAAGGATGGATGGATGAATCCAGAATGAAAGTCTGGTTTAATAAGGTATGGAAAAATAGACCCGGAGGAAATCAAAAAAAAAAAAAAAGAATTCTTGTTATGGATAGTTTTGAAGGCCATAAACAGATTCTATTAAAAATATTGCACTAAGTGATAAAACTGATTTGGCAATTATTCCCGGCGGTCTTACTTCTATTGTCCAACCACTTGATGTTTGTATAAATAAGTCATTTAAAGATAGACTTCGAGAAAAATGGAATATTTGGATGAGTTCAGGTCAGTTTACTTATACCAAAGGTGGAAATTTAAGAAAGCCAGAATATAATGTTATTTGTAAATGGATTCTTGAGGCTTGGGCGGAAATTCCGAAAGAGATGATTATAAAGTCATTTAAAAAGTGTGGTATTAGTAATGCAATGGATGGATCAGAAGACGATTTATTTGGACAAATGGAGGAGGAAATTGATGAAAATGAAAGGGAAATTGTAGATATAGATAGTGATTCAGCTGATAAATTAGAAGAGGAAGAATTAGAATAAAAAATATAATAAACCATTTTTTTGCATAAATTTTGGGTGGTGCTTATTTTTGGTTTTCAAGTTTTTCCGCCTAAAGTCCAGGTGGTGCTTAAATTCGGGTGGTGCTTAAATTCGGAAGGATACGGTATTTATAGTTTCAAAAGCCAATATCAAAAACTTTATTGTATTGATCGAATTCAAAAGTATGATAATGCTATTGCTCAAACCGGTCTCTTTCGGCCATTCCTCAAACCAATATTCGTGAAGCTATCGAATTTATTGGAATCGCATGGGACCAAGTAACCACCGAGACAATAACACACGCTTGGCAAAAAACGGGTATCCTACCTAATTAATCAATTTCCTATCGATACTCAAGACGCTAGAATAGAAGTGGCAGAATTTGTTAATTTGGAAGATTCCGTCTCTGTACTATGCCGACAACTGAGTCGATTATTGCAACAATAGAAAGAGAATTATCGGAGTCGGAGGACTTTCCAATAGCCGAATCCATTTCTCATAAATCAGCTCTCGAGCACGTCAATTCTTTGCTTTATATGTTAGTCAATATTGTGACAAACTCGACGTTGATATTACTTTCTTATCTAACTTAAGAAAATTAAAGAGAATAATTGAGACTAAACATCAGAATACGTTACAGCAAACAAGTATTCTTTCGTTTTACCATTAATTAACAAAGTTTATGCTGTTGAATTGTAAGTCGAAAATTTGTGCAAATATATATACATATGTACATATATATATATTCGATTTAGTGCGAAATTTGATAAAGCGAAAATCTGGATAAGCCAAATAAATTGGCTCTGCCCCCGACCTTCGTCTTATCGAGTTTCACTTGTATACAGTATGTATTATATAAGAATTGTATCGTCTTATTCTTAAAGTAAACGATCACAAAACTCCAAATCAAAACAATATATCTAGAAAATAAATGATTGCAAAAGCCATATCTATGTTGTACCTGTCTCAGTTCTGAACTGAGACAACTGGGTTCTGGACTGAGATAACTGAATTCTGGACTGAGTGACTGGGTTCCGAACTGAGACAGGTCCCAACTGAGGCACAACATCTACAGATTGGCAAAATCGATCTTCTCAACAACCAAGAATCATATGTTCATGAAATTTACATATAACCGTTGTCGAGGTGTGTACTAAAAATTGACACAGAATATTAAGTACGATTTAAATTTCGATATTCCGATTCGCTTGATTCTTCCAAAGACGCAAAATTGATTTTTGTCATAATCCGGAATAGCGCAACAACCAAGCATCCAATGCTCATATAACTTACATGTTTGTTGACCATAACTACTGTCGAGGTGTATACCAAAAATTGACACAGAATATTAAGTATGATTTAAATTTCGATAATTATTCGAAAACGCAAAATCGATTTTCGTCTTAAATTAGAGTATGGTTAGAACTTATTATATTGTGTGACAATTGAGACAGAATATATGGTGCAGGACCCGAAATAAAATACCCAATTTTCAAACCCCGCATATAATACCCTTTTTTCGGACTAATCTATTTTAAATATCCCTTAATAAGGTATTATATAATAATAAGTATTTTACATCATTAACCCCGTTTTGGTTCGTGTATTGCCCCAGTTATATTAGAGGGTTTAGAGAAAGACTAATCCGTAAGATGATAGAGCAGACGAAGCAGATAAAAGTTACGGTTTAAAATTTTTAATCAACTAAAAAAGTTTCGAGTTTTAGGCATTTGAAAAGCAACAGTTTTCTTAAGGAAAAATGAAAATTTCGCGTCCAGTTTGTACAACATTACATTATCCAATAAAGCGATAATATAAGTTTGCCATTTATTTCTGTAACATTCTACTATGCCTCGACCTACTAAAAGAAAAGCCGCACACAAAAAAAAACGTGGCGATATATGGATTTGTATAGACACGGAGTTACAAGTAAGTTAGTGGAATATGTTGCTAGAAAACATAAATCACACAGAAGAATCCCCGAAAATGCATGGGAGGAAGTTAGTTCGATCCATTATATAGGTAAGTATGTGATGTTCAATTAATTTCCGAGTCCAACATTAAAGTTTTTGCTCTTACACAGGGACGATTTTGACCCAGAATTTGAAGTGTCGATAATTTTCAAAATAAAGCATTATGATGTCAGAATTTTATTGGGTAAATGTCATGTGATTGATAAGTGTACAGGCTTTAGTATGTGTGTGTTGCATCAAAATTTCCCGTGATCTGATCAGGAGGAATGATCAAATGCAGTAAATACGTCGAGAGGTTCAGTAACTCTGTCCGGCCTTTTTTATACCAGTTTCGCCTTATACCGGTCCAATTTTTCGCTGCACCGAAAGATTATATATTAATCTCACCCCTTATAACGGCTGAATTATATACCGGTCTCTCGTTATAACGGCCAAAAACCGCCAAACCGTTTCAAACATCAATCACAGGGGCAACAATCGGACAATCTGATTTGATGCTTGCAATTGTTCCATAACGCGATGTGCTCATGGAGCGCAGCAAGATATAAACGCGCACACGTTCTTGACGATATTCCTGATTCGTTTATCGGTTCATATGTAAGGAAGAACAGAAATGCCACGGATAATGACATCATTAAGGCATACTTGAAGCAACCAGGTAAGCAAGCAATGAATACGCGTTTATTGGGAGGATAGTTGAAATGCATTACGACATGCGTTGGGGTTGCAGAGTCGTAGCAATGGTTAGGTTTATAATACGAAATGCTTATTGCGAAGTTAACTAATGCTTGTTCACATTACTTCACATCCGATTTGCTTTCCCCGCTACTCAACACTATACCAAACATGTCTCTTGTCTCTGCTATGACTGCTCACTGACATTCTCTTTTCGTTGTGTCTATGGGCTCATTCGCCTTCATCCGTCCAGCTGCCACTACTGGTGAGTGATATTTTTTTATCTACCAGACCATATCCACATCCTTTATTCATGCCACTAATGGCATTCAATGTGTTTGAACATTCGTTTCAAAGTTGGACTGGAGGAGACAAGAAACATTATAGTTGTAGAGGGGCAGCAAAGAGAGAATAGTTCGAGGGGGAGATAGCTCAGCTGCTGTTATAACACGCGCTGAGAAATATGATGCGTTGTTTAGTTTGGTGTGGGTAGTTCGAATGCCATTATATGCGCCACAAGCATAGGACACATAGCACATTTCATTCATCTCTTCACCGTTTGCAGAATCATCTAAGTTGTGTATAGAGAACGTAGATAGAGTGATGTTCATTGCAATTTTCATCTCCAACGCTTCCTATGGAGTTCTTGTACACGAAATAATGCTGGGGGGGTTGTTTTTTTTGTTTTTTTTTGCAGCTCTTCTCAGCGAATCTGACTTTCTCAAGCTCTGCCCACCTTCTCTTGGCTACATTAACAGAGCCAAAAGTACTGGAACCACGAACTCTACATATGCCTGCATGCCAGAGTCTGTTGTTACATGGGATGACTTCGAGGACGATGTAAATAACACCATCTGGGATGACACCCCGATGGTACTCCCATCCGGCATTTCAACAATAACCCAGGAATATGCAACGAAGAGAATGTTCGGGAAGCACTCAACCAAACTGTGTATAATTTTCCAGAACAACCATTTCTTTATCTTTCATAAACTGCATTAATACTATTGACATCCTTTCGCTCGCTCGCCCAACTTCGTAAAAAATCTGTCACACATTTTTATGAGATGTGTTGCGTAACTCTTAATTGTTTAATACAGACAGTACCAGCGATGCTGTTTTGAGTTTCAGTATACAACTCAAAAAATAGTGGACTATTTTACATATATCTTAAAGAGTTAATAACTAATCGTATAGGCATGTAGTAATTATCAGAATGTTTTCTTTGAACGTTAGGCATGTATTATATTAATTTTTGATAAAATTTGCTCTCATCGATTATGACTAAACCTCAGCAGCGAAATTACTTATACAGTCAAAATCCACTACACATACAGAATGCAGTCAAAGCTCGATGTAGTGACACAGTGAAGATCGGAAGAATTCTCCGGCGTAAAAACAACTTTTCCCGATATGATGAACAAAGACACTGTCCAACTGACTTTACCATATCGAGCTTTTAACTGTATAGGGCGTGTGCATCTTAGTATTAATATTAAGTCCCGAGATTTAGACTACAGAATACACAGTGAAAGTCGATATAACGGACCATCGTTATAACGGACCGTCAATAAAACGGACCTTTTCTCTGGAACAGAATTTGTTTACTAAATAATATCTGATATAAAACTCACAAGTCGATATTACGGATTAAAACGCATGTAAGCTAACCGTAACTTGGCATATATAATTATGAATAAGCCAATATATTTACCGACGGGTCGATTGAAATAATTACCGGACGTCCGAACTAATATAATCTCCTTCCTCAACAATTTGAACGCGAACTGACTTGCGTTTTTAGTAGCCTGGAAGTTTGGATAGTGGCCGGTATTCTAAAACGGGGTGGCTGCCTAGAGAAAAGTCATGTGATGTATCACCGAATTGCAAGTTTTAAGTAATGATGTCAAAAATAATGATGATAATAGATTACTTTGCGAAGATAAAGTTAAGAATTTTTTCAGAGTTGTCGAATTCAAATATTTACGCAAATTATTAAAGGCAATGTCTGCATCGTGCTACTCTAATGAATGGTTGGCCTACATACAACGATGGAAAGCTGACAAGATGTGCTAGAGTTATGTTTCTTTAAAAGTATATCAGCTTTTCTTTTTCTTTTTTCCTTTTTGGCTAAATCTTGTTTAAGTTTGAGCGATCCAATTGAAATTAAACTTATCAGTGAAATATTATCCGCGTCATACTTATCAGGAATCTTCTTTTTTTTTTTTTTTAATGTTGTGAAACTAATGTTTACAACTACCTGACCGTTTAAACATAATAGTAACGCCTAATTATTAATCATTAGGGTTACACGCATGTGACCGTAGAGGGGTCGAATCTTCTTTTCTTTTCTTTTCTTTTCTTTCTCTTTTTTTTTTATTCACCGTACTATGCTAGAAGGATAAAGTATGTAATCTATATTGAACTTAGATTAACATATGTCAGTTCAGAATAGACAATATTATAGGCAGATGTGCATAGCCAGACTTTATTTGCGGATCAATGTAATCATAATCAAGAGATCTCCTATTGTTTGCCTTGCCGTAGTAAGTCACGATCAGACAAGTCACGAAAAGATTAGAGTACCCTTTCTACGACATTTCCAAAAGGTAATCGACTATGAAAAATTCCTGATTTTATGTCCAAAGAATAAAATCTGTACACACATTTATTGTGTATAAACATGTGCCGAAAATTTGCAAAAAGAGTTACATACTTTAAAGTCCCTGCGTGTGCAATTCATAATTTATTTCTTAATTTGAACCGAATCAGCCGTTTATGCTCAGCCACAGCAACGGTATACAAATCTGCCTGAATATGTTAGCGTTAGCCAATTAGAAAAGTCTTTGCTCACAAAGTCATAAATAAATAACACTTACGAATCTACCACGTGTTACTAATTTACCTTTCTTTATTTTCGTTCTCCCTATCCAACATTGTCATTGTTTCTTATCTTGATCTAGACAGGGTTTGCCTCGGAATTTTTCGACCAGGAGCATCAACTCCGAACACAGTAAATAAAATAGTTTCGGCAAACGTACTGATGTAAATAACGATATCTTTTTGACAGTTCCTTCAGAACCCTTTCGCTTATGTTTTCATTCATTAACATTTTTGGCAGTTAAGCGCTCGTGATCTTTGATTCCACATGTAAGCGTTTTTTGAAATCATTAAACGGAGTAAGTGGCTTGAATCAGTCATGGTTCTCAACAACGGTGAAGGAATGGATGTGTCTAGAAGGTGTAGGAAGGTATGTAGATAATGGAAGCATTACTTGAATGGGCATTCGAATATGAATCCCTGAATTAATGTGAAGAGGCCAGTGATCTTTTTTAGGTATCTTGAACGTCAAAACCAGTATAGTCCAGTATTCATAATTTGTCCATATCTCTATATACTCACATAATAAGCTCTTAATGCATTGTAGATTAGCTAATATAAGCCGTTTGACCGAGCACATTGTCACTTGTTACAAAGTAACACGCCCATTTTGATTGGCCTGTTGAAATTAATGTTCACAAATGTAAACCTAACCAAAATTAGTCAATGCATTGGGTTCTCACATGAGCCGATCGTTTCTTAACGCTTGCATAATTTAATTGCTGTACCTACCAGATCCATTATTGGCAATGGCAATGGTAACCACAATAGTTTCATACTTTGACCAATAGCACACGTGGAATGCATCTGAACAATCCTTAGCAATTTGGGACCTGATTTTGTAAAGACTCGATTGTTCGGATAATAAATACGATCGAATGGGAATGTTCGGTATTCTGCACAGTCTAGCATCTTTCATAATAATCATTAGTTCTATCAATCGAACTTAATACAAAAGATAACTTGCATGTCTAAATAAAAGTTTAGATCTGGAAGTCCGGATCCATGTAGTTGTCAACTTTTGTCTCACAGAATCAACTTTTTTGTCATTATAGTTATAATCGCGTATATCAGTTTCTTTAATGCTACAGAATGTGTAAACTACAACAAACACGTATAAGCGGAAACACAAGCCAAACGTTGGTATAGAAATAAAAGTCCCATATGAAGTGATGCAGAAAGTTATATGTACTCGTACAACGGTGTGTTCTTTAATTGTGGAAAGTGTTGACCTTGTTGTTTGAAGCCATAAATAAAGTGCATTACTGGTCTATATTGCTAACAAGACTTTCAGTGCATTGAGCGCGTGAGAAGCTATTATTAGACGCAGCAACACAAGTTTGATTAGAATAAGCGTCAGTTGAGAACCTGTAGCACCTAAAAAATTAAAGCTATTGGGCCGATTGTTTATCCATTTAATCTCATATACATTAATAATTGTTATAGTTATTATATTAAATCTTTTCCGAAGATGTGATCATATTAACACCTGAGACTTAAATTACAATTTTGTCAAGATTCATCATCGATTAGATTCCCCCCCCCCCTCTTAATCATTATCATTACGCCTTCCCTTCATAAGTCAAACAACTAATTGTAATCCTGCTTAGATTTGTCTATATAAATGCGAAGCAGATTATTAACCACACGTTTGGTAGCCGTAATTGTACGATCGATTTTCATCACGCACAAATCAGGTAGAAGACGCCGGCAATTTATTCTAATAAACATATTGTTACTGTCAAAGTTTTATAATGTAATATGACATCGAGTTTTCGGATTTCCATTTTAATGTGCAAGCAAGAAGAGGAAACGATTCAAAACCATTTATAGAGAATACGTGTGTTGGCTTTTATATGGAGTGACTCATATCATTGCGTCAGTTCATTGTGTAGATTATCCATCAGGAATATTAGGCTGACAAAAGCATTGGTTATAGCTTTTCGAGATTATTACTAGTATAACCTATCAATCACGGCTGCTTACGTAAGAAAGGCTAGCAGAAAGGCTTTCATATGTTTTGCTAATAATCAACAGAAAGTGATATTCATGACTTTTACATTTCTATTTCCATTATTAATATATCCGTTCTTCCATGTTCGAAAATAACAAGAAGCTTTTCGTTACCATATGATATCTATCAACTCCTTTTCCCCCCAAATATGTCTATACTCTACGCCTTACCGGTTGAGTTCTAATCATTAATAGTATATACAACCAGCAGAGTTGTCGCAGATCTCGTAATAATCCCTCAGACGGCGGATCGTAAGACAAAATTGAAAATATACGAAAGATAAAAAAAAAAAGCTTATTATTGTGAAAGTAGAACCAATAACTTACTCTAATTCACTAATTATAGGGGGTGCTAACAAAAAACTCAGACATCGGTGTACAAGCATTTATTGGAGAAATGTGTATGAATGAACAAAAAAGTGGGTTCCTAAAGTTGCTTTCTAATATTATTCACATATTATTACAGATTGTTAATGTGTTAGCTTGTTTTATATTATGTTTTTTTATACAGTCAACCCTTAACACCAAGGCCATGAATTTAATCTGTTTGAAACTCGTCTTCCTTCATTATGTAACTATGCAGTTTGCCTTGATAATCAAATTAATAGCTAGCACATAAAATTTCCGATATTTGCTTAAACGAGTTAGTGAGAAAATATATAGATTAATAGTGAACACTAATCCGGTGTCAGGGAACATTGAGATTGTACGATAGAATATTTGGAAGGTAAATCACTGGGGCAAAGTTTATGAACATTATCTATATTTCATTTAATGAATACATACCACAACCTGCCATTGAATACGATCAAAACTGATATTCCTGATTTTATAATGGATATGACACCCCTCAATAATATGCTTCAAACCAACGCGGTACAGTTGTATTTAACAAGATGCTCGTTGACCAAACAAACTTGTTATTAGATTGACCGATTGTGCATCTAGGAATTTCGGAAGGTCTAGGCCCATGGATCTCGTATTGATATACAATGCGTATAAATTAAAGTACATTTATATATATATATCTATATAAGACTCGTTACGGGTGTGCACGTTCCGACTATTATGCAAAAATTCGTCGAGGTTTAGTTATCAAGCAGAGCATTGAGGACAAACCTCATTTATTTCAAAGTCTATCCATATACTACCTAATTTATGACAATAGAAACAACATAGCGTCAACACGTCGTAAATAGACTTGCCAGCAAAGCAACCAATGACAACGGAAAATATTTCCTCTCCACCACTCTCTACTCCTCCTCCATCTCCTCCATCTCCGCATTTCCCACAGACTGTAGTATCATATATATGGATAGACTCTATATGTATTAACGTCCGGAGTAATATTTGCTCGCATGATATATTACTCCGCCCTCTCTCTTCAGAAAGCATTATACGCCGTTGTTCTGGTAATAATTGTACGAACAGCTTTCTCCTTCTTCGCATGTCGCTCAATGATTCCAAAACAGACTGGCCAGAATGCCATATTGCTCAATGCTTGCTACACAAGCCTGACTGGACAAAAATATCCAAACTTTCTAGTCAAGTATTCGAGAATACCAAAATAAAAACTTTCTTTGCCAAGTTAAGAAGTACCGTTGAGGCCAAGTGGTCGAAATATGCTGAGAAATTTGTACATGTTAATCCCGGTATACAGCGACGACGACAGCAGAATCAATCACAAATCCAGAAGGTTAGAAAGCAGAGATCGAGTAAAGTGAAGGTGGTTGGTGAAATTAATGGAAATTGTGAAGATTATATAAAAAGAGGCGATGAACTTATGAGAAGCATTAACGAAGAAAGTAAAACTAACAAAGTTGATGAAAGAGTTGCGGCTGCAAAATATAGTAAAAAACAAGACCAGCAGGATCAGCAGCTTCAGCAGTTTCAACAACGTTACCAACAATATCAACCAAGTCAACACCAGCCTAATCTTCAATTGCATGGTATAAATGGAAATAATACTTCTAATAATAATGCGTCTCAAGACAATACTCGGACTAGGGTGTTGTCTGGTGGCAATGTATCGGGTATTTGGTCACAATTTACACCTGGACCTTTTGTATGTTCATCCATAAAAGCATCGCGTTAATTAATATCCAAATTATAATTTAATTGACGTTCATTCATATTAATACGAAATATCTATATTCTCTTTTTAGCAAGACTTATCCTACCTTGTTCATAGACCACCACTTTATCAAGCCTCACACTCACAATATGGATATGTTACTTCACCAATAAGACCACCTGCACAAGTTTTGGGCAATCGTACAGCAACTTATGGACAAATATTACTACCATCAACAGTTATGAACGTTCCTTCTTTTTATCAGCCAATCGATCTCGTGACAGATTTACGGCATACTATTTAAAACACTTAATAACAAAACTCACATATTTTGTTAGTGAGACCTTGCCAACCATTTGTTGGTTTAATATTAATGTCTAGTTGGTTAATTAATTTATTATTTTGCTTTTTTTCTCGACGACGACGCTATGATTCAATTAAAAAAAGGTCAAAGTAAAATTAACCAAATACCTTAACTGTTCTCAATTTCAATGATACAAAGGTTCATGCAGGAGTATACTGATAAATGCTGATCGAGGTGCAAGTTGTGTCAAAGACTTCTCAACGAAGCTATTGCATCTGTTCAATGAAAGCTCATAAATGGATATCTAAAAATGGCCATGGATGACCAAAATCTATTATATCACGACTATTTTTGGTTACTCGCCAATTGTCGGAATTTTCTTGGACCCGGGATCGTCCCTTCAATTCGGCCAATTATTATTTCCATTATTTGCACATTTTAAAAGCGTAGAACCATTAAGCGCTAGTGTGAATTATTGGAAGCAATACATAATCGTAGAATAAGACCTTCAATATTAAACCAATCGGTTCTGTATTAATATCTTTTATATATTAATATTGTGTATACTATTATTGGTGGGTAGACATCTTATGGTGATTAAGAATTCACACGGATCGGGCTTTTGCCCAAGAAATCATTAGGCAATCTCCGATAATGGCCATCTTACAATAGTGTGACTTATAAAATAAGCGACTGAACATTTGCTGTAGCCTGTAGATCCGATGCTGTGGTGTGTAATAAATAAATTATTATGTACAAGAAAATTTATTATGATCGTGTCATAAAGTGACCGGATAAACTAATTTACTCCCAATCGGCTTACAATTACCTAATTGACAACTTGTCACGTGAATTATTTGTTACAGTCACTCTCGATATATAAACAGATCCCCTGATATGTTGAGGTTTTTTCTGGAACCAAGTCAGTTATAATAAAAATTAGGCTCGATATAGTGAGGATAATTACAACTCGCGATATAACACTATAATAATGTTTTTGTGTGAGTTATATACATAGCAATAGGCAGACTCGATAAGTCGGCCACGGATGGCTGTGGCTTGGTAGACCACTTATCGAATCCACGTGACTAATTTAGTAAAAATTTATTTTTATAGAAAGCGAATCGTTAGATGAAAAACCATTATTCTGAATAAATATCCATGCTCGTTTGTATCAAAGAATCCGTTCGCTTCTTCACAATTACAATTTCCCATTTTAAGTCTCTTAACCCTGAAATAATAAACTGTTTGTTATTCTGCTGCAAATAGTCATATAAATTTTGAATACTTTCTAAAGCCAACTTTGTTAGATACCATAAAAACCTCATTTTTGTCGTCATCTTCTCCTTTATCCTCAGGAGCTTCTTGGAATTTTGCGTTCTTTATTTGTTTTACACCTACGATTGAACGCTAAAGGTGTTCAGGAGCTTCTTGGACGGCTGCAATAATTTCATTATTATTAGGAATATCGTTTGTTTCTAAAGTACTGTCAATTTCAATATGGTCTTCTCCTCTCATGACGGAATAATCAACGACCATTTGATCAATAAGCGATTGCAACCCAGTCGATAATATTTAAAGTAGGAATCTCAGTTCCATATTCCTGAAATCGACAAATGCATCTATCCTATCTTTACACAAGTATTTTATATTAGCGTTACAGTATAATAATAATTAATAAGATGTAAAAATTTATATGATCAACTGTACTGAAATAGTAATGATATTCTCCGAATATCATGTGAGACCGACTTATCGAGGGTAATTTACATATATAGCATTAAAGAATGTTGGCCGACTTACAGCATATCGCGACTTTACATATGTCGACCGACTTATCGAGTCTGCCTATGTAGAACCAAGATTAGGAAAACGATCTCGATTTAACGAAGTGTGTAATCACTATAATTGGTAATCAATTTATCGTCATAGTCATATTAATATTAAATTAAACCAATTAACAATTTTTTTTTGACTCGTTTGCGACACGACAATTAAGAAAAAGATGAATGATAGAAGAAGTGCGATTAGTAATAAGTGGGTTACTCTTACTAAGTCAAAATAGTGTAATTTAAATAATTTGTTAATAAAGAAATTATTTCTTGATATACAGTAATGTTACTCAAATATAAACTTTGTTATAAAACGATTTTCGTTATAATGAGCTCTCGATAACATGACTGTTTTGGTCGGCCCGACGACTTCACATCAACCTTAAACTGGACTTTAGCGAGCACTTTGTTATGGATAAAAGTTCCTCGTAACAGTATTATCAAACCCCTTGATGGAGACAAGGAAATTCTAAATAAAAAATCTAGATTGTTTCATGCTTGATACAATGAGTAACGAAGTTAATAATAGATGATATATTTACTAATAGTATCTAGTAAATTCACGAGCCTTAATTTTCTATAAATTATATGTATATACGCAAAAAAAAAAAAAGAGTATCTATTAAACAATTTCTGTTTGAATCCATATGGTGTCTGATATTAGACCTTAAAGTTGACTACAAAAACTCCCGGGGAAAGCGCCCAAAATTTTGCCTACACACAATCTGTTAACATACAATTATAATATTATCAATATATTAAATCGAATAACACGAGTGGAGTTTCTCACTTTATTATATATTATCATGGTAGTTATCACAAATATGGTAACTAAACACAACAAGCATAAGTATTACTAAATTACTGTTTAATATTTACCGATGGCTCTGGGCCAAAACAGTGCATGCACTTTTATCGTCCGTTTTAATTACTGTACGCGCATCAGTTGTTGCTGAATACTGGAGATAATGGCTGGGTTGATTAACTATTAAAAAAACAACTCCTAAAATGAGAAGTACATTAATGATAAAAATTCTGCGTGGAAATTGTTCAGGTAATCAATTATATACAGTCAACTCTGTTTATACAGGAAGTGTATCGGAATCTCTCTATACCGGACGGACCGATTCTTGCGCACCGTTCGTTTCATATGAAAATTCTTTATTTATACCAGAGTCTCTTATAAACTTTCCATATACCGGTTTCGGAAGGACATAGAGAGCTATGCCAACCCGTTCGGTGTAAACAGAGTTGACCGTATATCGAAAAAAAAAATTACCACAGACGACTGAGCATTGGCAAATGAAGCAATGTCCTACAAGAGTCTGTCACTATTTTGAAAATAACATTTATTTTATGTCTGTGATAAATACATCTTTTTGACAGAAGTGTTTGGCAACTTCTACCAATTTGTTAGTAAAACATACAAGTTTTATGCAAAGTCTATATTATTAGTATATAATATGTAAGTAACAAGCACTTTGTAAAGGATATTTATCAAATGAGGCTTCTTTTTTTTTTGTGAATAAAATAGTAATTAAAATAAAGATTTTTATTGTTATTATTATAAACCAGTAGTTTATTATTTATAAGCGGTAGGATATATGTGTAAACATATACACCATATAACGGATATGTGCTTATTAACTGATGAGATTTTTAATCTTCGGATTAAAGGGTAATATTTAATATGCCATTTCTCGCAACTAGATTTGGATTACGGATTACAGTGATTTATTATAAAATTTCGAATAATCGAGGTAATTTTATTATTGACAAATGAAATTAGAACCAGAAATATGGGATTCGGATTAACGAGGTTGACTGTGTAATCGGATGACGCTAATTCGTAAGCTTGCTAAGTCGGACACTCGATAAGTCGCCCTTTTCTCTCTAGGTAAGTCAGATTTTCCTTGATAAGTCGGGCAGCCAGCCAGGTCCGACTTCTCGAGTTTGCCCATGTACACAAGTACGCATCAAACAAAAATTGAGACTTTTCAAAGAAAATACAAGAATTTCTGCATTAATAATTCAAAATTTAAAACCGTCAATTTGTTCCTCTTGATAAACATTAACACTTGACGTTTAGAAATTTGACAAATATTACCTGTGGCTTGAGATATAACTTTTCAAAGTTCGGTTATTTGGGCAAATCTAATCTTAATGCAAGCCGATTTCTTAAATCCTTAACAAAAAAGGAAATCATTTGTTGAATAAAAGACAAAATTTTCTCGTTTTTTGACAATAGGTAGACCACGAAACACACATAATTCTGTCGCGAGCTTGCTAGGAAAAAGAGAAAGCCAAATTTCTCTTTATAGCACAGTACCCATTGATTTTGTTATTAATGATGATTATTTTATTGAAGATGCAAATTGGAGAAGACAACACAGGAATAGTGAAAATGTTGTACCTCAGTTCGAGACCATCTTAGTCTAGAACTCGGTCATCTCAGTCCAGAACTCAGTTGTTTCGGTCCAGAACTCAGACATTTTAGTTGTCTCGGCCCAGAACTCAGCCATCTCAGTCCAATGGTGATAGATTGAATGATGAGGCTGAAGACTTGTTTAAAATATTGGTTCAAAACATGGCAATTTCCCCCGATCAAATTGTCCATTAACATATACAAAAAGGTCAAGAACAACACCACATTAATGCGGCGCAGGAAAATGGACAGACGCTGCTTGATTTTTTCAACTACATCAGTGTTAACGCTGTTGAGAGAGCAAACGATTTATGGATTGCTATCGGAAGGGATTGAAAAGACCAGAATTTGCTGTCAAAAAAATAAGTCATAAGACTTCCTGATCCAATTTTAGAAAATTTAAAATTTATTACCATTGACATGTTTAGTAACGATCCCCCTTGACACTAATTGATCTCAACAAATCGATAGAGATTAAACCAAATGATGCGTGGGCATTGAAAGTGGTTGATGCGTACTTGTGTCCCCCACCATACAAGCATCAACAGTTAACATTGTTTCGTAAAACATGAAGTTGGTGCATGGCAGGAGCCAAATTTCTAAGCATATTTTGCTCAAGTTGTTATTTATCTTTATGAAAGTTACAGCTTTCTATGTACAGTTCTACCTCAGTTATATTCCCATGTTGGGACCCAAGCTTTTTGGGAATATATCTGAGGTGGGATATAACTAAGGTATGGCGTTTCAATAGATAATATAATGCAATTTTATTGGTTAATAAATTCTATCAGTGACGTTTGATGTTTCGACCATTCACGAATTATATTGCGCATGTATCTAATATCATTTTCTGTTGCAAATTCTCTTTGTTCTAAAAAATTCTTGACCGTCGCTTCTCTTCATACCTTTATGGATATCCCCTTCACTTACATTTTCTTCCATATCTGCTTGTGTCTGCTGTAAGACATCTTCAGTCAGAAGAATTTCTTCGATGAGCAATGGTTTAACACTAATAAGACTGACAATTGGTAATTTGATTTTTGAACTTGGAAATTGCTGTCTTTTATTTATTTCCTGACTTAATGTACGGCCTGATTTACGGCCTGATTTTATTATGTGGCCTGATTTATGTCTCGACGTTGAATTAGTGACTTGATTTTTTACCTGTATCGAGAATTGTGACTAACCAAATGAAGCAAATAATCGACATGTTCTAACATATAGAGATGACATGATTTATTGTGTAATACAATGACACATATATGGTTAATACATTTGCTTAATATAATTAATATTAAGGGGGGGGTATAAACGAGGAATGGATTACGGATAGGGATATATCTGGGATATAACTGAGGTTGGGATACAAGCGTGGGGGATATAACTGAGGTAGAACTGTAATTCGACATTCCTTGCTTGATTTGTCAGCTTGCATAACTAATACTAATAAGTCATCAGTAATTGATTGATAGCATAAATCTTTGATTAGCTTGGACTGAAGTATCTGATTGATGTGCGAACGCCTTACCCCATGTAGTAGTACTTGCGTGTATATTTTTATGTAAAATAAATATAAAAAAGGGTTTACTTCAAATGTACTGATATGTAAATAATCTCAAGGAATGTCAACAATGGACTTTGTTGTTCCAGTAATGTGCCAAGTCGTCGTACTGTCTGAAACAAATGAGAATCTTATCTTTATTGAGATAATCTTGGAATTCAGAGCATTTTTTGCCTCCGATATAAATTAGGACTAGCCTGATTCTTCTTGCAAATATCCTGCTTATTAAAATGGTCGAAAAGTCAGTTCGCTAACTTCTATTAGACACAACTTCTTTGTTCCAGTTGACATACACAAATCAACTAGTGAATAGAGGTGAATACTGATCGGGTTTTCCCACCGCAGCGTCGGTTGACTTTCCGGAAAGACCCGAATGTTTCCGTTGTAAGTGTTAGGAATAACGCTTTTAAACCTTGTTATGGTTGATTGTATTTTTTTGTCAAGATTTAAATAGTTAGTAGCACAACTTCACGCAGTATCGTTTTTATGTCATGAGATCGGATACGAGTTTCCGAACACATCCAAAAAAGTAAGTAAAATAAGATATTAATATTAAATAAAGACAAACATCGAACTTAAATAATAAGCAAATGGATCAAAACTAATTTTGAGCGCACCATTTGGTGAGTAGTTTTTTTTTCATTACTTTACTCCCCAGTTATACCGATAAGTATAGCATATGGATATTTAAGCTTTCGTACTGAATTGCACTGTTTAAACTTGTTGTCCACAGCTTACAAAAGGACAATTTAAATTGATCACATTGAATATGTCATTTCACATTTCTGATCCCAATCTCCGCTCTTACTTGGACAATGAAAATCATATCATTAACAACGGCGAAGACTTCAAATACTATTGCGACGTGTCCAACCCTTGTCACATTGGGAATGCTCTTTACTTTATTGCTCACCCCTTTAGCCAAAGCCTACATTACATCTCCGAGTGCAACAATGGTAGTCATACTGTACAGTACGTGAAGAACGAGGAGGAATTGAAGTCCATAACTAGGTGCAACATGTATCCCAACCACGAAGATTTCTATATCTACAGTGATAACAATGGCTCTTTCAGTTGCACTCCCAATCACATTTACTACTTTGTTCGCCACTTTTCAAAGTATCCAATTTATTACAACGACAACAGCGACTATGATGGCAACAGTTACAACCACAACAATTACAATTACAACTGCAACTGCTACAGCTACAACGTCTATATCAACAATTATCCTAGCCACACTATCTACGACATTGGTTTAAACAACGAACCAGTAGAAAATAGTGAAACGAATACAACCGTTTCAACCAACAATGCCACCATTCGCACACACCACTCAAGCGAAAGTGACAAGGCCGAACTCGATATTATCGGTGGCGAAATTTGGGCAGTCCGGGGAGACTGTACTGTTCGTTTTGAATTGCCATCGTCGGAAAACGAGATCCGCAACATAATTAGGGTGTGGCGAAGGCGGGGAAAGGGTAAGAAGCATGTTAATCCATTTATGGTATACCGTGCACTCTTATCCAAAAACCTAGATTATAAGAAAAGGGAATTCCGGAATGGTGGCTTTCAATGTTATATTAGCGAATTCGCAAGCAAGACTTGGAAGGGAAAAACCGACTCTGCTAAAAAGGCTATAGAAAATCTTGCGGCAGAAATAAACAAATATATAGAGGCAGCAAATATTCGGAGCACACTTTGAGTCGTAAAATTGTGAATATTGGGCGTTTGTATATATAATAAGAAGACTTTAAATGTAAGAAAAAAATTTCCCCATGTTTACATTTAAATTTACGTATAAATTAATCTTTCGGTATTATTAGAGACACGACATAGTGTTATATTCATTAGATAATATTATCGACCAAAGGAAGCTTGTGTCTAATTAAAAGCAGAAAACGTAAGTGTCTTGCATCTTAATTAAAGTTGCGCACAACTTTGTTAAAATATCGATCTCATTAAAATGTAGTACGAAGCCAATTCAGCCCTGCTTAATAATTGTTAAATGAATAGCTACCAGGAAAAAGCATTGAACATTTTGAGCTGCATGAGTTGGGATAAATATTGTTGGATATTGAACCGAATCTATGCGGTGTAATATTAAATCTCTGTATACTAGATACGTACCATATAACAAAATAATTTTTAAATTTTACAATTTACGGCCGTTTTTCATTATGTAGAGCATAATAATATGCGTTGCACTGTTTACGAATACAGCAGAATGACAGGATAATAAAATCACAAAGAAATATGATAGATTATTATTTTAACCAATTGGAAATTTTGTTACTCAGTACTGCGTAGTGTGTTTTGTTACAGTTATCTGTAACTATGGCTGGACAATGCTTCAAGCATTGCTTTACGTATTTGTACGTTTAATTAATAATTTAAGAACCAAAATGTGTACAATGCTCAAAAAATAGATGTAGATATTGAACAGACTAATCTCATTATTTTAAACCGCTCCAAACAAAAGAATCTATTTTAAACATAATTATTAAGGAAAACGGCTTTGAACATAACTACATTATTAGTAAGGAAACCATTTTTTTTTTACTTTGATGGTTGACAATAAATACACAATGTATTTTTCAGAAAAAAAAAAAAGCTTACTGACCAGGATATATTTTCATCAAACGATTCTAGACTTGACACAAATATGCTACTATATACTCAAATATATTTATTAGTTTAACAAATTTTTTGTTACAAAGTTTACAAATAGATAAATGACAATATACTAGTGCTCTTTACTCGTTTATATTATCGTGTCATGTTGACTTTATTATCATCATTATCATTATTATTATTATTATTAATTCTTGTTACTATAGTGGCCAAACTATTGCCGCTTACGCATTTGACATTCGACGCCCTGCCTACCGTGAAACGCAAAATATAGACAAGACAGCCGATTTTCCTCTTTCCGTAGACTTCATAGTGTATGTAACCAATGCAGACAAAGACGTATGCATGTAGAATATGTACGTGAATTTACACAGCGACTTTTTAGCGTTATTATTATGAGCGTTAATTGGTACATAATTGGTGCTGTCAAATTGTAGAGTGCTTTTTCTAAATTTAATTCGCTGGCTGTAAGAGATGCTGATTTCTAAAAGAATAATATACCAGTCAGTAAGACAGTTAAGTACCCCACCAGAGCCGCAATTCATGCATACCCGACCGCTGCCAGGAATGTTGGTGGTCTGATTCAAACGTCTCCAGTCATTAAATTTTTTAAGTTTTCTAAGTAACACATTAAATAGTAGTACCACTTTGCAATTAGCCACTGTACAAATTAAAAAACGGGTCACACAAGCCACTCAATGATATAGTGGCGGTTCCATTGTGCGCGATTGGACATAACATTTATGCACTCGATATATTGTACTCTCCCTATGTCCCGAGAACGGTAACATAAATGGGTAAGATCAAACATAGTCTGTATAACGATTACTTCATCAAGAGTCGATCGGTTATGAATAATATTTAATTAAACAACCTTAATGGACGTGAAATATTAGGAATATTACAACAATGAGGCTTTAATTGTTGTTCAGATAATTTTGTAGCCAGGTTAATGTAAGACCGCATAAATCATTTAGCATTTGCAGCGCCTGTTCCACTGCGTTTTCGCTCTTACCAAAACCGTGTTCACTTTCGCCATATTTCCACAAGTCGATGTGAAATGGGATATCTTTCCCACTTTGGTTCACTTTTATTGTGCGTACTGCGACTGTCACATATTTTATTGTGCAACAGTTCTAAAAATAATCATCGTACGTCATTTGATTTTTGAAAATATGACGAGTGGTAGAACATTATTTGTAGAATTGGGCATTTACTATGCACGAAGACTAATATGGATCAAACGGGAATGATAAAGAACCAAATAAAATGTATTACATGATGTCAGCACTTTTTATGTAATAGAAGGTGTAAAAAAATTTTTTGCAAAGCAATTAGTCCTTATATGGCATGCATCAGGGCTGGTCTTTTTTATATTATCAATTGTATTCATCGCTATTGATTAATACAGGAACCCTGAAATGATCATGAGACTTTGGCTGACAAATTGGGTCTAGCCCAAATGCTTAGTACAAAACAAACATAAGAACGCCGAACTGCTTGTCTTCGTTGCCGGCGCAGTCAACGAACTGCGATAGCAAATCATACCAGTTTTTTCTGGACAATCCGATAGCACCACAAACTGACAATAGTAATTGTTGACAAAACAATGACCACTAATGAACAAATGAAAATCTTCTCTAACGATGTTAACAATCTTATCACTGATTTTTGGGCCGTTATTTACCTTCCATGTGGGAATGGAATCAACTTTTGCTCGTACGAGAACATCTTCCTTCTATAACTTCTCAAATTCCGTCTTGGCCATGTTTACCGAGTAATCGTTCACGAATTACAGAACTGAAAGCATGCAATAGGTAAATATATGCACAAATAGCTCGATCCTTAATGATCCCGAAAGCGCAGCCACGCGGGTAACACGCGGTGATAGCAACAAAACAAGAACATAGAATCATCAAATGGGTCAATGACAGAATATTTCTATAGAAGGTTAATATATTTCATTTGCTTTGGAATCTCTCAAAACATAGTACTTATCGTTATATCACTAGTTTCCACGTGATGCTTCCAACATACGATACTACTTACTCTACGCGCAGCATTCTACCTTCCCCCCTCCCCCTTATCTGCGGATCAAGCGTTAACTTTAGCACCCGATTCAAATCCTGATTTTTGGTACACTCATCTGATACCCAGTGCGGTTGGACAACATATTTCGCGTATAGTCATATTAGAAGTCCGGATTCCTGAGAGCTTACTTTTGCTCTACGCAAAACTATTCCGTGGATAATACAGAAGCGGGAAAAAAACCTTACGACTAAGAGTTAATTCTTGGGTTTATGAGCTGATATGATTTATTAACACTTTTGACTTGTTCAAAATAAAAACGTCTTATTTTCATTTAAGGTTTACTATTAAAACGTTATCCTTTCTTTAAATATAAACTACGGACTATAAATTCCAATATACCATTTTCCTTCCTACCTCCTTTACATCCGTCTCTAGGACTATTGAACTCTTGTATATTTTTAGTGGCAAATACCTCTCTTTATTACTTCTCCGTTAATATGTGTTCACACGACAATCGATATTGCTGTTCCCTACTTCCTAACGCCAACCTTCAAATAACCGTACCGTGTGAGTCTACAGTACACACTTTCGCTTTTCCGATACTCTCTGTTTCGGAACTGGCTTCACGCTGCCATAAGCAAGTCGCTTTAAACAGATTTCTGGTTATTCGTGTTTCTCTTCAAGCTTTCAAAGAGCACTTGCCTCGTTGTGTGCACAAGGCTTGTACCTTGTATAATCCCGACCGAGGAAACATTTCAAAGCTTGCAGCAAAAATCTGGTATTATGCTAATAAGCGTGTTAAAAAACACTTGGATAAATGGAGGGAAGAAGTACAAAAACAGATACCTGTTAATATTAATTCATTTATCAGAGAAGATGGTGGTAATGGGAGAGTACGAAAAGTCAAAAAGGGTGAAGCAGCAACAACGGACAAGACTAGCGGAAATGAAGAGAAACTAGAGGCAAGTGAAGTGAGCAATATTGGAAATAAAGAGAGCACAACGGAAATTACAAGCGACAAAAATAATGTTTTTATTAACACTACGTGCAACGACGAACTGTCTACGGCAATGCATGCCGTGCCATCGCATCTACCGCCAAGCACACCAATTGTATATCAGTCAGTAAACTCGCCTCCTCCATATGTCCAACACGCCGCATATGTTCGTACAACGCAAATGCATCATCACGACATGTCTAATCCATTTGTTCATACTTCTCTTCCATCAACCTCACCGATAATTTATCAAGAACCATTTACGTGTTTGTCTGGTTTTAGCGCGCTGACTCACCAGCCAATACAATGGAACGTAAACGAGGAAACAAGAGAAAGTATGGGCTTGCCTTCTGTTCAGGATTATAACGAAATGCAAATAGAGAGCGGTGGTTTTTTTCATTCTACCAATGGAAATTTTCTTGCAGAAAGACGAGGAACGGAAGAGATTAGGCATAATATTGGATATAACAACACGATAAACAACATCATAATGGGCAATGTTGAAGGCGGTATGGAGAGAGAGTACTTTTGTATTAACGACTCGACTAAAGGTCAATATTTATAACATATTGTGCTCGGCTGTTAGTACGCCGATTGGTACGCCGTTTAGTTCGCCGATTACTTCGCCAAAGATTTCTTTTGTTGGGACGAGTTTTCAACTTTTATGGATTATGTCACAAATTAAGATAGTGAACATAGAATACTAAAAATATATAATTCTTTTTTTGGTAAATTATGTAACTGACAAGCTGTAAACCGATAAGATAAGTATAATTGATAAGGTTATCATAATAAATGTAGGTCGGGAATATTTATGTGTTAATCTTTGAGTATTTCGATCTCGTCATTACTGTTGCATTTGACTACAGATGCACGTCGATGCCCGTGATTATACCATGAATGAGTTTATTATCGGCCAAAATAGGCATATCGAAGGTATAAGCGCTTATTCTCCAGTATCTCCGAAAACCGTATCCTCTCGGAATAACTACACATCCTTTGAAATAATTATATGTTGTATTGAAATGCAATCAGCGAATCAAATTGCACCGGAAATATTGATAGCGTAATACTGTAAGACAAAATTGATATACATATGTGTCATGTGTATCAATGGAAAAACCCTTCACCTTGTGAGCACATTCGATTTCGTTACATAGGCTGTTCCATTCAGAACTCAGCTTTTGTTCGTAATTTCCATTTTCGTCTTTCCACTGTCTCATTGTAATTCCATAAGGTTTAGATTTACTCTGATTGTCGTTAAGATCAATCGCCGAGTTCAGTGACAGATTACAAAGATTAGGTAAGCTGTGTAGATTACAGTAAATGGTGGACAAAATATGTGAAACATGGTATAAGCGTACTCTCTGGGCGAAAGCAAGGGTGGTATTGTGTTGTTGATGTATGAGGCAATAATTGGAATAAAGTCTACATGTTCAACCATCTCTGATAAAGAAATGTGGGAGAAAGGAGAAAGGAGAAAGGAGAAATGAGATTGTTATGTCTATATTAAAAGAGTGTGTGTCACTAGTGATGGGTGCTAAGTGAATAGTAGTAATAGTTGATATATTACAGTATTACGTTTGTCAAGTTATACAAGCAACGTCAGTGCTACGACTGTATCATGTGATTACGTTACACACGTTACTTTTTCCAAAATTGGTTTCGCGTTCCTAAACAAGCGGAGAGATGCATCGCGAAAGGCCAAACAATTGCAAGGTATTGAAAGAAGAAAAACTATTTTGGTATATGTAGTACGATTGATGCATCAAACAATACTATATTATTGTTTGAGAGATACATTCGGTAACCCCGATGCACCTGCATTACATCAAATGACAAAAATCCGTCATGACTTACATATTATTTGTCAGACCCCATGGCTTATTTAATAATTACTTATTAATATCGTGTGTCTGTACAAAAAAGACATCTGATCGCTCTCTCTCCTTCAATCAGGGGTAATTTGAATGAGAAACAATGATAATGAAAATTGCATATAGATGTAACACAGATAAACATAAACATAGATGCGAAGTGATGCTAATTCGCTAACCCGGTAAGGAAACATTGTAAATTATTTCTCAAATAGCAGAAAAATAAAGTTATCGCACATTCGGACCTATCGTTGAGAAGAAATAATTTATATAGTGTTACTGTAAATGGCGAGATAAGCAATACTGACTCTATTTTATAATGCTCGACATTGATGAACAATATTAAGTTGCTATTTAAGAAAAAATTACAAAGAGTAAATTAATAATCAAAGGGTGCTGATAAATAAATTTAGGTTATCGTGCATTACTCTATTAAATATAGGCATTGCATATAAAAACGAAACAATATTTGCAATTGCTCGGCATAATATAAACATGGGTTAAGTTTTCGTACTATTGGTCAAAGCACCTTTAATCTTGTAAACAACTTGATCTTCCTTTTTTTTCGCATTTGGCTCGATCACAATACATATAAATAGTTTCTCTTTATTTTCCTAATTTTTCGCTACACAAGTTAAAAGTCAATTGTGCGTTGTGTAAGCCCCTTACTTTGCCGATTATGTCACATTATTAAATGATAATCTACAATTACAAACGTGCTTTTCAATTGCTTCTTTTTCTTTAATATTGCGTAAAGAGACGTAATTACGCATGGGCGCACTGTCGATGACCACTGTCGATGACTTACAGCCGATTTTTATTACATAAGAATACAAACTTTACAAACAATGATGTTCGGCGCATTCGACGCTTTGTGATATAAGACAACCGCTGGGCTATCAGGTATTATGTCACATCGCATTTCTAACAAATCTCTCCGATTGGCGAATGTTATTTCGACGTGTTACTTATTAAGATGGGGCTCAGCATCCAAGGCTTTACGTCACAACGCCCCGCAATTGTTAAATATAAGCCGGAATGCAACTCCTTGCATTTTTCCGCAACAACATTTGCCATGCAAACGATTAATAATATTGCTTTCTTTTGTTTGCAATTGTAACAAAGCGTCAAATATGGACATGAATAGCATCGCAAATAAACTGCGTGAGTGAGATAATTTAATTAATAACGAGAGAACAGGCTAACAACAATATTGGTAAATCTAAACTAATAACTATATTTATACTTCGGCGAAACTCTAAATTTCTACTTAAAACGCCACCCATTATACGATTCGCCCGCAACCGAGTTTTGATTAGCATCCAATAATACGTAATCTCAAAAAAAGTTTCTGATTGGTGTGCGGATGACGGACTTCGACGGAAATAGAATTGAAGGTATGTGCTTGTCTCTTTTTAAAGAAAGATATCGTTATTACCCTCTCATTTTCATGTTTTAGATAAATAGAAGAGCTCGCCCTTTTCTCTGATTTATATTTTGCCTACAATTTTAGCAAGCCAAAGGAAAACAAGAGTCGCGGTTTATTATTTTCGCACCGCGGAAACCGCTGAAAGGTTTTCTACGGTATATAAAATTAAATAAGACAAAAAACAAGGAACGGTAAAAACAACACACTACCAATCCATACGCTATACACTCCCAATCATTTATTATCGACAAAAAGCATGGCCCAGGCTCGAGTATCTCTCAGGATAGACCACCCTCTGGTAGAAATTGTTATTACAACGGCTAGATGTTCTCATTCAGTTATTTGGCCCCATTGGGGCTACTCCACCTCCAACTGGACAATCCAAGACGTTCTATCTTCTTGTCGAGGCAACATTTGTCCCAATAGGTTTGTTATCATACGACGGTGGGCCGAGAAATATCGCGATTTGTTGCCTTCTTGTGAACATTCCGATTGCGATCTCTACCAGTTAGACATGAGTAGACTGTCCAGGTTAGCATCAAAGATGTGGAACCAAGTACCAGAGACTGAACGGCGTGCATTGGAACAATTGAGAGAACTTGTGACAAGGAACAGGATGGTGAGAGAGAGTGACTGGGTATATGAAGATCCGGTTGTTCAGGAGGAAAGGAGAAGTGAGAGGAGGAGGAGAAATAATATTGGTAGAAGGGGGAGAAGAAGAGGGTGAGAAGGGAATGGAAAGAGGAAATTATGGTCTATGATTAAATTGATTATATGCTTGTAGGGAGAGCGTTATTTTATAACATTTTAGAATAAGATACGTTATATTAACAATAAGGAAAAATATATAGCTTATAATTAACATGCACATGATTTATTTCTTTGAACTGTTTTCATATCTTTTTTACTTGATAGCTTTTATGACAATTAACTAAACCTGTAACTGAATTTGTTTCAATAGCCTATCAAAAATATATAATTATAACACATTTTCAAAGGCATGTATGCATGCATGCATTATTAACATTTACTTTTGGTTTAATCTGTTGTTATAAAAACTTTGAACACATATCCAAATATAATTATATTATCTAGTATGATGAAACATTCTCTTGAGAACAAGTCACAGAAACTAACACCAATGTTTTATATTTTACATTCTCATTAGGCATACCAATGTCGTGAGCTAACATTGATGTTTATGATTTACTTAATTATTGCATTTCAGGTTTCTTTTCGCGTATATGACAACTCTGCTGATTGTTTTATTATTTTATTATTTTTGTTTGAGCGTCATTAAACTGAAAACTTTTTACTAATCTCTAAGCTTATATTTACACTCGACCATTGTTCTTTACTAATTACATTCCATAAATATCAGCCAATCGTATAGCTAGGTCATATGAACTTCACGCATTGGATAACGAGAACTTTATTGGACTGGGACAAGGTTGATGCAATACTGATATCGTAACCATAGTTAGAATATTACAGCAGAATTTTCGCAGACTTTGACATATTCAAGCCGCATGCATTAGTAGTAACTGTTACGTTTTCCGTTTGCAATGACATCCATGGAAGCAACAGCAACTGGCCAATGATTTAGCATACCTCATCACGTGAACGACGACGAAATGAAAAAATTTCACTTTTTCCTTAAATTTTCACCTTAAATGAGTTCTAATACCTCCGCAATAGACAACAATGCTATCGTCCTTGTCAAAGACACTATTACTGTTCCGTCGAAGCACAGATATCATGCCTCTGAACATGAAGTTAGAAAGAAGTTAAGAATTTCTTCCAATAAACAACTTAATCGTAAAGACATTTCGGATATCTGTAGCATAGATGAAGTCGAATATCACTTTGAAAACGGTAGCTTGGTTTATACTCAGTCAAATGTTATCAAGCATTTTCTAATGGGTTATACACGAATATCTTTGTTGTTATTATTAATATTTGTAATATTTTTTATTTATAGATCTTCGTAAAGTGAAGCCGTATTATTACGAATATCGAACTTTTACAAAAAAACGGTGGATCGGGAGGACCATATTAGATGTATTCACTACTGAGTTCAGAGATCGCTCGCCGCAATATTATGTACATAAGAATGATGACGATATGGTGGTAATTCTTACGTTGCTTTCGTACGTAACGTCTTAATAAATAATATGTCGTTCACCTATTGAAGGCACGAGCAATAAAAAGAGGCTCGATAACTGTCAACAAGCAGACAGTCTCAACAGACACGATTTTAAGGAATCAAGACCTTATCACTCATAAGATCCATAGACATGAGCCACCCGTCACTGCAGAGGAGATCAAGATTATTTGCAGGAAAGATGATCTTATTGTCATCAACAAACCAGGAAGCATTCCGGTAAGTCGCTGAAATTTACAGTCAACGGATATTGTGGTTCATGTTAATGCCGGCTGTCGATGATAATATTTTGTTTTTCAACTGCTGACGGCCAATCGACTTGCGTTTAGGTTCATCCCAGTGGGAGATATCTCTACAATACCGTCCTGCACATCTTACGCAAGGAACATCAGTTAGATGCTTTTCATAGTGAGTCATGTTTGAGTATAATTCAACACGCGACTTGTAACTCACACACTCTCTTTATCAGCAATTAATAGACTAGATAGACTAACCTCGGGAATAACGCTAATCGCAATGAGCAAGCAGAAAGCTCGAGAATTGGAAGAACAGATACGCTCCCGAAACGTCCAGAAAGAGTACGTGTGCCGAGTATTGGGCGAATTCCCGATGTAAGAATATCAGATGTATTACCCATTGCCTTGCATAATCCGTTGCTTCGACAATCGTAAATGATATCAATTTCTCCAGCCTTGTCCCTCAATCAGCGAAGAGATTATATGCGACCAACCAATCAAATGCGTTTCTCATAAACTAGGATTAAATTCGGTCAGTTCAGATGGAAAGCCTAGCACGACTGTTTTCAACAGAATGCATTACAATGGACACACTTCCGTTGTCAGATGTATCCTTTATGATGGATGTTACGTAAATGTGGCGTATTCAGTTTAAAGCGTAAAGCGTCTGATAACCGCTCGTCCAACTTTTCCTATACTACTTGCCTTAATTCGTTGACTCTTTTTTTCAGGTAAACCGATAACAGGCCGTACTCATCAAATACGTGTACATCTCCAGTACCTTGGATATCCTATTGCTAATGATCCATTATATAATCACCCAAGTGCATGGGGTCCATCTAAAGGCAAGGGAGGGTTTGATCAGGAAACCACCGCGAAAGTAATCGAGTATTTTATGCAAGAAGGGTTGGGCGACGAAGAAAAGGCCGTCGTAATAAAACCGGAAACCGGCGAGGAGGCGAATTTAGCAAACGGCAAAAAGCTCATTATAAGCGAGAACGACAATGCTGACGAACAGGATGAAGATGAGGCGAGCGGTACTCCAATAGCCGATGAAGAAACACCCTGTTTGGACGAAGATTACTGTGAAGAATGTGCGAACCAAAAGTTTAATGATCCATTGCCACATCAGCTCTGTATTTGGCTACATGCTTTGAAATATGAAGGTGACGGTTGGAAGTATGAGACTGAATTGCCCGAATGGGCCAAAACGGATTTTGTGGGGGATAGAGATATTAGCGTTGACGGTACCTCTATTGCTAATAATCTCGTCTCAGGTCATATTGAGGCAAATTGATTTATTGCAACTGACATTTTATAAAAGCGGGTTTTGACTTGCTATTAAGGAACCTTGGGGACGGCGGGAAAGAGTAATTAGTAGGAAGTTTAACGTTTGACCCAAATATAGAAGCCAATGATTGAACTATTCATCACTATCAACACGCAAACAAACATGGCGATATAAAGGATAATTATTAGTATATTGTCGTAGATCTGTACACATATTAATATGTTAATGTAAACGACTAAAACGTTGTGCTGGATATTCCATATTTGGGAGGTTTGTACTTTACTGTCGAAAAATTGGTAACGTCTATATGAATACCAGGCATTAAGCCAAGTTTTCTTTATTGATTTAATTTAGTCATGTATATGTAAAAGCAGCCAATAAAAATCCTATAATAATAATAATAATAAAAACGAAAAATTGGTAACGTGATTCAGGTCCAGCTAAACCAATAAAAGGCTCGATTTTGGGCAGAGCGAAAGAAAGCGCGAGGAAACATGAAAAAGGGACATTTTGCTGGCTGATAAAGACGAAGCCCGAAAGAAATTAGCGAATGAAACAAAATTAGCAAGGTTACAGCGCTCCTATTTGGTCAGAAGTGCCAGGAGCAATAACCAACTGGTGAATTGGTTACGATCCCTAACCGTACAAATAGTCGTGAATTCTATTAAAATTTTTTTAATGAATGCTCACTTATAAATTAGATCCATATTACTTACTTTTATATAAACTATATAAGCATAACCTCATATATAAAACACGCAAACGAACGACTCACATGTACGGGCGGGGCCGTACGACACTGAAAGTGACGTTAACGTACCAATGTTCTATAATAGACAGAACACGAAACCGTCAAAAGCAACTCTCGACGCGATGCCAGTTTTATACTGAAGAGCTCCAACTCGATTCCTCCACCTGATCTTCGTAGTGGATGACGTCGTCGAACTGGCCGGGTGCAGCTTCGTGAGAGAACGGGGCAATGACCGCTAAAGAGATAATTTTTAGTTCTAAGGCATTAATGACAATTCCAAATAACAAACCATATTTTACCTTGCAGCTGAATAGGTTGATTACATTTTCCACATGAATATAAAAACCCATTACCAACTTCGAAGCCTTCTCCAAACCCGAGTTGGGTAATCATCTTGCAAGTGCATTTTATGGAAATCCAGTTTGCGGCCTTATTTTCGTTCCGTTGATGGGAATACTCGAGGCCTTCTCCAACCCCGACTGGAGTAGTCGTCTTGCGAGTGCGATTTGTGGGAATTGAGTTTGCCGGGGTTTTTGTTTTTCTGCTCGCTTGGCTTTGTCTAAAAGGTTTACTTTCGTCCGAAAGATCTTTAAAGATTTTCTTTAGCTTTGGAGGCGCTTTACCCCAAGCTTTACCCGCGATGTCGGAACAATATGTCAGCTTGTTGAAACAGCGATCGAAACTGGCTCCGTTTAGAGTCTTCATGAGAAGAGTCCTGAACAGTATGAAACTATTGGAATTCTTCAAGGCATCGGAAAAGTTGGAAGAATTCTGAGGAATGGCAACTTGGATGACGTTCTGACTAAATTCTATGCTGTATGTGCGTTCATTTTCATTAAGTTTGACTATCATATTTTCCAAAAAGTCGCGTAAATCGGTGGTCGAATTGCCAACAGGCAAGGGTCCATTGGGGAACGGATTATTAGCCATTGTCGAAATCCATCTTTTGAAAAAAGCCTGCTGTGACCTTTTATGTATATAGCTTAATACATTCCAGCCAATATACACGATAATACATTGCGAATGATAATGTATTAGTATCATTTTTGAATAATATGGAGCGAGAAGTATAATGTATTGATTCGAAATTTGTTTGTGTTACACGATTAATTTTAACTTCGGGTTTAATAATTACAATGTATTGCTTCTAACAGTGCAGTGAATCTCTTTACAATGCATTGCCTAATCCTACCTTTTGACAATTGCTATTACGAATCATATCCCGAAAGTCGCATACTTTTTCCTCCTCCAATTGCATACGACGGATTGCAATAGCCAATCGCTCGTAGCGACTAGCCTCATGAATAATTTTGCCTAAGAAACAAGTCCCTATTTCGCACTCTCTGTCCTCTGTATTTTGCGCCTGTTTATATATAATCTAGCTGGTTAATGAACGAAAAATATGTAGGCAATCTTTATTCGTAAGGAAAGGTGTGGTCTGTCAATCTTTATTAGCGGCTAGGGATGTTTGGCTGGTTAACGCTCGTTTTTATAGTTTGGACAAGTTTCCATTGAAATTGTGCGGGCCAATAATAATGAGCAAAATGTAAGACAATCTCATTGTTTATTTGAGGATTTTCTGTTGTAGAATGTGTGACACAATCTCCCGGAGTTTTCATAAACGACATCGATTGTTTACAGTTCATTTTTATTTTGTATTCTATCGGAGTAAGCCACGGAGTTTTGATAACTCGGAGGAAATGCATTCGTGAACGTTTGTTAACATTCATTAAGCTGGTCGTCAAGTGGGAAATTGAGCTATTGTAGATGGAAGAGAAAACCTCATCATGTAGTAGGGAAGATTTGCATTTTAATTGAACACTTACCAAACCGTTGAAGTAAAGAGGAATGTGACTTAATTTTCGTCAAGTGTATCAATCAAACGTTCTTGTGTAGTTTATTTCGTTAATTGAGAATTTATTCAAATATTTCAATGGACAATCATAAGAGACAAACGTTCTCCGGAGACAACGAAACAGTAATAATATTTACCGAACACAGGATAAAAAGGACAAACGCAGCTGAATGGCAACAACCAATATTGGATACTTCGAATTAACGATTATCATTACGCATACAAAATAGCACAAAAATGTCAATTTATCATTCAAATATCTAATCTCACCTTTGTAAAACACACCTGTATCTCCGACAATCCATCTTTAGTCTACTCTATTAATTTCCATTTGAAATTCCGAGTGCGCAATGCGTTAAAAGGGTTGTCTATTAAGGTCTGGTGAATTTAGAATGTGTGATCGAATGGCGAACTACAATCTTCGTTCGTTTGTGTCGCCCGCTTATTCTAGCCAATTAAGTTTTTATAAAAAGTAAGTTAATACCAATGATCGGCACTACGAACACCCGTTGTCAAACTTCCGCTTATATAAAATATTATTCGATAAGTTTCGTTGTTCCTACCTCAGTCACATTAACCTTAATCACATTCTGTCAGTTTAATGCTCTTCTTTAATACCCATACTATGCGGAGAATTACATCCTTTCATTCATAATATCGGGTACGTCAACGATAATCTGAATCATGTGTTACTAATGGGAAATATTCTAGCGAGGAGGAGAAAAGGTTCTCGTGCCACTACTAATTACAGTTTGATCTTTAATCGAGCTAATAAATATCGAGTAGCCTGTCACTGCATATGGTAGCACAATTTGGTAGTTATCTAGATCTCGAGGTAAGTATGGTGTGTTCGGATCTTTTTTGGCGAAGGTTATCAATTTCTTGTAGTCGCCCCTTAACGACCCTCTCGGGTTCAATAACCCCAAACTAGATATGATAGTCTTTTAATGTTAACTTTCGGATAAAGCGCTTGCCGATTAGACTTTACATTCACGTGTATTGACTTGGTATTACAATATGCCAGTGTATGATATATTAAAGGTTTTGAAACGTAATAGTTGAGTTTACATAGTTCGGACACATTTAAGAAATAGTCTTTTCCTGCAAAAACCTTTATATAGTATGAATACTGGCCGATTGTCTCTTCTCCCTATAATGATTGTCTGTAAACAACCTGATGATATAAATCTTCACTTTGATAGAGACTCTCCGTTTGATAAGACTCTTCGGGAATACCTGGTATTGGCACCAACAACTCAGAAACGCCCATACATACTCCTAGATGATAGATAAAGCAAGAGAAAGTTTTTAGCCTCCATAAAACTTGCGTTAATTGATATTTGCGTATTATATTATCACAAATAAAAAAATATACCTGAAGCATCTGAACTCAATCTATTATAGAGTCCACAGCCGCCACACTTGTAAACCAAAGGAAGGTTTGACATTGACGGTGCGACCTGATTTTGATATTGCCTCGCTTCTGTGGCAAGCCTCTTGAATTTATTTCGAGCAAAATTATCTCCTGCTCTCCATGCCCAACCTGAAATTATTGAAACCCGCCTCTGTTTAAAGCATAACGGATCTTCATCTTTTCTCAAACTTTGTTGAAAAAGTTTGCGGAATACCATGAAATTATTTGGTATTTTTTTATCACCAAAAATCAAAGCAAGCTGTGCCGGGGAGGGAAGAGAAAATTCAAACGTTCGTCCGTTTGCACAGCTTATTAAAGCTGATTCGTGCCCTCTTGTGGTAATTATACCCAGTACCGGGTTAGGATATTCTTGGCTTACATCTTCTGTCGCCATCTTCTTTCTTTCCTTTGACAATCCCAGGTACAGTATACCTGTAAGTGCAGACAGAAAAAAGAAGCGTAGGCGTCGCTTATTGTGATAGGTTAAAATAGGTTAAAGGACGTATTCTAATTATTAGGAAGTAAGAGGTTGCACAGTTTAATTGTGCTGAGAGCAACTCAACCCCAATGAAGGTATTAAGTATTGATCCAGGAGGCAAAACAGGCGCTTGACTAGTTGCTTAAATACTTCAATGAATTAAATAGGAATAACAAAGAGCAAATTACTTTTAACTTTTTTTATAATCGCGTGGTTGTTATACTCATTTATGCAATGATATACAGGGGAAACAAAATACTGCGCGGTCGCGATTTATAATTTTTTATATGCGATAAATAACCAAGTTTTGCACCAATTACTTTATCAGTTGTCTGAATTGTATGTTAGTGTAGCTGTTACAACGTTAAGTTGTGAAAAACTTCAACCTTCCGTTTTGCGCATAAAATGGGCCTTGCCCAAGAGCTGCTTCTCTACGAATTACAGTATAATGCCACCAACCATAGTTGAGAATGTACTGCTTTTGCTGAAGTGCCACATGACTTGAATAAATAATTTTTAGGTTTAAATAAACATTTCAATATCTAAAAATAAAAGTATGCACGTTATATTTGATATTACAGTATTATTAGAACTTGGCTCATGCTTATAATGATATTGTAATACTCATATTTCCTAAATCATATAAGACTGGAAAAATATACGCACCATTTTATTTGACACTGAAAATCATAGTACACTATTTCATTAAGGGGCTCGCCCAGTGGCGAAACAAGGGTTGTTAGAAAAGCCGAATGATGCATATGATCGGGTGCGTTATACTCGATATCTTTGCTTTATCTCTTATTGTTTTCTTTGTAATGCTTTTTAAAACTTGCCGTGTAACATGTCAGATTATTTATAGCCGTAAGACCAGACAATAGATAATATTAATATTGTGAAATTACACTAACTTTTTTTACAGAATGCCAGTTGGCTTTTTTTTTTTTCTTGAAAATAATACTAGCTATCAATACACGTGATTTGTTAACAAACGATGTCACGAAAATGGCAGTGTTTGCCATACATATGTTGTGTCTGAGTTCGGGATCTGTCTTGGTTCAGATCAGCCCAGAACTCAGTTGTCTCGGTCCAGAACTGAGACAGGTCCCCAACTAAAGTATAAGCGCACGATAATTCAAGATCATGTCTTTCTATTATCTAGACTTGACCTGAGTATAACTATAACTAGTAATATTAGCTTACATGTTTTAATTTACCAAACAAAATTTCAACAACAATAATAACGGCAGACTTTCTTTGCCGTCTGTTCAATAATCATAATAATTTCGGATACATTAGTTAATCAGCTGTATCTTACTATAAAAGTTATCATTCTACAGCAAGATACAAAAGTCGCGCATATAAATATTTCCAAGAACGTATTAGCGTTGAACATTTAGTAATGCTTTTTATTGAATCACTAGCCAATAAATTAAATAATGTATCTAAAGGATAAAACGTTTATATGATATATGCTAGTTACTTAATCACAAGTGACTTTACCGCGTATATATATAGTTTATAATATAAAAAATTGTACAGTGTAAGAGACCCTATTTCGTTAATAAATATGTTCGTGTAGTCTGTTATTACGTACATTGTCAATATGTCGCAAAATACGCATTAACATAAAACATTACTTAAATTCTAACCGCCGCTTTATCAGAATAAGTTATTGAGCAATAATTTGTAGCAAAAATCCAGTAATGATTTTAGAAATGGGGTATGTCTACATAAGAGAAAATGGAAAGAAGGTTAGTAAACTTAAAAACTAGACAAAACATAACAGTTAAATTTTATACAGTATTTACCTTGAATGCTCACATCATTAATGAGTCCACATGAGTTACATGTATACGTAAAAACTGTGTCAGTAACCGTACATTGCTCGTAAGAGCGCGACGTGGTTATCGTAGGGTTTGTAGACACAGTTTTACGGTCCTTATATTGTCGTCGTTTTTTAATATTCTTGTGATTCTCGTCGGAATGCTGTCTCTTGTCTTTTCTGCCTCTCTCACTTTGTCTCGAATGTTTGCTTTCCATTACAGTTTTACTAAATTTATCTTTTACCTCGCTTGGCATCTTTTTCCATGCTGTACCTGCTACCGAAGAGCAACGATAATTGAGAAATTGGTCGGTTTTCGCCAGAGCGGCAAACAACAAGTTTCTGAATAGAATAAATCCATTGATGGGTTTTCTGCGGAGTTCAAGCGGAGCCGAAGGAATCTCGATCGTAGCGAGAGTTTCTTCAGCGCATCTTATACGGATGTTATTTTGAAGAGCATCCACAGTAACATCGTTAGGCATTAATGAATTGCCGTCGTCCATTCTTCCAAAAGTATATTTTCCGGTGCACGTCGCTACGGATTTATAACGCAAAAATTAATCCATCTTATGATATGTTTATGATTCGATAATATAAGCCACTAGTCCAAATCAGAGATTTATTTGTGAGCCTAGATTTCTATCGGAGTTTGGCATCAAAATTTGCACAAGGTTAAGTTGTTTTTTCTTGTTTTATTTTAAAGAATCTCCGGAGTAAAAGAATTGGATTTAATACTTAAATAAGTAATAATTCGCGCTTCAGCGTCTTGTATGACAATCGACCTGACTATTAGATTATATGCCAATGCATTGCAATGAATTTCTTTTGCAGTTAACTGATTGTCATTATTCCAATTATTAGTTTGAAACAGTCGGACAAACGCCCAACCTTTATTGATTTGCGCGGGGTAACAATATTACTATCGCGAGGGACTTTGGGGTAACAATATTACCCCATGCTGACATACGTGCTGCAACATGTAAAATAGCCTTTACCCATACAAAAACATCCATCAATTAAGACATTAATATCAGCAAGCGCGCAGGTACGTATTACCATCAAGCCTTATCCAGACACTCGTAACTGCTTGAGCTTTTTTTAAAGTTTAAACTGTTGCTTGATTTGGGAACCAGAAATATGCTGCGTGAACATACATGGTCCTCACGCATAGATAAAACGATCCACCGGGTGCATCAGATATTCGATGTCTCGATAGTAAAGACAAATTAAAGTTGCGTGTGATCGTACAGTAGTTTTCTCTACCTTATAGTAAAAGTAGGTGAAATTGTTATTGAAATTTCCCAATAAATTATTCTATACGTAAAAGAAGTGTTAATTGCCAAAGTCCATTGCAATACCCATTGCCATTGACAAGTGTCCAATGAATTCGAGTTACCCCTTCCTTCAGTGTTATCAAAACATTACACAGGTACAAATGATATTAACCCATTGGAACAAATATGGATGGTATTGCTCATTTAAAGAAAATGCTTGCCTGTTCCTGGACAATTGTTTCGCTTTTTTTTATTGTGGTATAATTAATTTAATACATTGGCTTCTTTGAATTTTTTCCCAAGTAAAAAACAAGTGCATATTTTGTCCTCGTATAACGACCAATGTGTACTTTGACATTTACTTTTTACCAGAATAAGATAGATGAGATTCATCGTGAAACAAACATCCGTTTGTTTGAATGCATACCCCTGTCACTCATCTGGATAGCTTGTCCGATACTCCGAGGTAACACTCCAAAACAAAGACTATGGAGACATCTCCACTTCCACGCAGTGTTGCATTATTATTTCTTTATTTGACATCAATATCGGGGCTTCTATAGTAAACAAATACCTCATATATGCGTATGTCTTCGATTTATAGGTTGCATCCAAACTAGATAGGTAATGGAACAATAGTTCGATTTGATATATAAGATAAGACAAGCTTTGAACAATTTTATTTCTTTCGAATTATTGTATACAATACGAAAATCGATGATAAGACAAGGTTTTGAACAATTTGTTTCTGCGTTAATTATGTCAAGTAAATGCTAGGACGAGTCAGTCATTAATATACAGTATTAATACATCTGTGATATGAATTTTTGGTTTAAATAAAGTTTCAAGCCCTACATAAACAGAGCTAAATTAGTTGGGAAAAGTTTAATATAATTGAGACTAAACGCTTATTATTATGTGCATGCATACCATTTTAACCAAGTGCGAGAAACAATTATTACTTTTTGCAGTATAGAAAGCACGACTGCTTTTCTTTATTTTGGTTCGTTATAAAAAGTCTGATCAATCGAACTTTCGGTTTGGTCGACGTTGGATAAATCTTCGGCCACATTAAGACCACCTTGTGCTTGTAATAACGGTTCTGCAGAAACAACCATTGCGTTCAAGCACGGAGCAAAGGTTGCAGATGCTTTATATAAGACAAGAAACTTGTTAGTTTTCATAAAGATATACGAGACACTAAAATAATGCTTTGCGTTAATTGATATAATCTCTACAAGTGCGCATACCTAGTGGGTTTAACAAATTGAAAATACCGCAACCTATGCATGGAACAACATAAGGAAAGCTTGTCACAGAAGGGGTAGCATTTCTCTTCTTATATTGCTTCAACTGGTCTGCGTACCATCGAATCGTATCTCGGGCAGACTGGTCTCGGTTATCCCACGCCTGTCCCGCAAGTATCGAAACGTACTTTTGTTCTGAAGATAAAGCATTACGGTTTTTCTGAAGACTTAGTAGAAAGAGTTTCCGAAACACCATAAAGATGTTTGGATTTTTGTTTCTATCCGAAGTTGCAAAAAATTGCGCTGGTAACAGAAAAGGGATTTTGAACGTAGTCCCGTTATTACAAGAAATTGAAAATCCATTATTGCTGGCAGTAAGCGTAGGGTTGGGATACTGTTTTGCCAGCATCAGCAAAATTCGAGGGTCTGGGCATTTTGTTCTTCTGCGACGCAGAGTTGATGCGGACATGTTTAACCTGCGAAGGCAAAAAAAGGAACGCTCAAGACATATTAATATATTATATTCTAAAATTTCTAATGTGTCACAGTCACATTGCAATGAATATATATCTTTGGGGGGCTGACGCGTAAAAAAGGGCGCTACAAATGATAAACTAATGTTCTAACTATATTAGGTTATTTATAAAGTCCCTTATTACAAACGCAACATGTCAAACAGTGACTAAATGCTTGTTTTATCTAATTAGGATCTAATTAGTAAATTTTTTGAAAGCGCGCCAAAAACATACCATTCTTATGTGATTACATTTGAATGGCTTTTGTATCACCAAAAACGGACCAAATTAAATATTATTCGTTTAAAATTAAAGAGATTTTCATGCCTTTTGATATCAAAGCTTATTTTTAGCCAAGATCTTGCATGTTAGTTTAAGTGCCCTTCCCCCACAGGTGCAACTAAAAGGAACGCAATCAATCATAAGACCTGTATCCTATTTGCAGATATGCATATGCATTCTATTGTTGGGATACTAAATTCGTAATTAATCTCGTGATTGTACACCTGTAACACTTTTAAACATACTTTCACATGTACTGAAGGTGGGGGATATACGGAGCGGAGGGCAATTGATCAACTGGTAGATTTTGGCTTCTTTTCCTACTTGCTCGGCCCGTTATTCTGACACCTCGAATTATTTATTTAATTAATTGGTTGTCCATTGAAGCATTCTTGCTCTAACAATGTCTACGCTAACTCTTCTAAAAGAGGTCCTCTTTCACGCAACCCTCGTCATTGACTACATTAGCTACTACATTAATTACATCCTCTGTCTCGTTTTCCATTACATTTTCAATGAGCCCCCTCCTTTCCCAATCGAAAAACCAACTCCCACATACCACCCGGCTGTCCTGGTAACTGGCACATCAACAGGCATTGGTCAAAATGCTGCCATTACTCTCGCACGAATGGGCTACACTGTATTTGCGACCGTACGCAAACAAGTTGATGCTGACGACCTGACTCATCTTTTCCAACAATACGTGAATACAAATCAAGGAAACCTAATACCCATCATAATGGATGTAACCGACAAGGGCGATATCCAAAAAGCACAAAACATTGTCCGCAATGTACTTGGTCGTGATAAACCGCTGGTCGGTTTGATCAACAATGCAGCTCAAGCGAAACACTTGCAAGCTGAATTAACGTCTGATGCAACTTTCAGGGAGATTTTCGAGACTAATTTCTTTGCGGTTGCTAATTTGACCAAGGCTTTCTTGCCCATGTTGAGAGAGGGCAGAGGAAGAGTTATTAATATTGGCAGCATTGCTTCGTGGGAAGCGACTATATCCATGGGCGCATACTCTAGTTCCAAGGCTGCGTTGAGAGCGTTGACCAAGGTTTGGAGAATGGAGTTGAGAAGATTAGGCGTGTTTGTGTCGTTGATTGAGCCCGGTAAGAAACGATGATTAGGAAATTGAGATGGTAGTGTTATAAAAGCGATAGACCAAGCGAGAAAATGTTATTTTTATTTGATATTTGATTGTTACTCTTTGTATATTGCGTGCTAATGTTCTTTGATGCCCCGCATTCTTTACATCCCATGACATATAGGTATGATAGACACGCGTCTCACTCACGAGACTAACCAGAATTTCCTCGATCTCAATTTATTCCGAGAGACTCCACGTCACATCAACCCTGCCGTTATCGTGCACTACAAGGAGCAATATCGTACAGCTGGGAAATACAGCAACGAATTCATTGACACAATACCTCCGCCTGCATTGGTCACTGACGCTATTGTCAATGCATTGACTGCCAAATATCCTAAAACGACATATTACGTTGGATTGGATGCGAAGGCACTGGCTATGATTAGCTGGTTGCTGGGTGAAAGAGGCACCGAGGCCTTGCAGGGGTTGATTCTCGGTTTTTAAGAGATCCATCGTGTAACAGTTAATTACTACATTATTATTACAGTAACAGGTATTACGTACTGGTTTATTGTTTGTTATTGTTATTGTTATTATTGTTGTTTTTTTGTTGGCTGTGATTTTTCCAATTTGGCCCCGTCTGACATTGACTGGAATGGCTTAGCCATTGTTAAGTATTCAATTGTATCAGTGTTAGCTCAATTGGGAAAATCGATACAAAAGCATGTTTTTAAATTCTCTAGTTGACAATATTGATATCTGTGTTATTTACACTGTAGTAAACTGTTCTTAAACAGAGAACATAATGGAGACATTGTTCGTGTATTGCATTATTGCTACCTCAATAGGTAGTTAATCACAACCAAGCCGAAAATAACAAATGATCTCCTGTCCAATACAGTAATCCCAATCTACTCACGCACTAGCCAAATTGACGATTTTCTCTTCTACACTACCCCTCCTATTCACTCTTCACTATTGCCATATCACTTGCCCCATCACCATCATTGAAATCATAATCATCCAAGCATATCGAGTTGCTATGTTCGATGCCATTAGATTGAATGAGTAGTTTAGGCTTGTTGTTACTAAAACACAAAGGATGAACGTTATCAAAGGAAGAAAGAGATAGACTGGGTGACAACTTGTTATTATTACATTGGTCTACTTCATAGTATATATACTTCTGATCGATTTGATCTACTTGATTAATCAAACAATACTCTTCTCCACTTTGGCCTTGATTTGCCTCTTTTCTTTGATACAATGCCTTGCTCATGCTAATATCTTCTTCTCTCATCACAATATCTTTCCGCAGCGTCTTCACATGTGCAGTGACATTCATTCGGTTAATACCGCTATAAATTGATGATGATAGAACTTCTCCCGAATGTGTGTGATATGAAACCATTCCATGGATGGAGCCCGAATAAGGAGGAACGTAAGCTTGAGTTTGAATTAGAACTGGAACCCTGTATACGTCATTATACGTGCTATTATATGTGTTACTATAAATGTTACTATAGGTGTTACTATAGGTGTTACTATAGGTGTTACTATAGGTGTTACTATAGGTGTTACTATAGGTGTTATGTCCATCGTATGTTTTATTGCACGCAATCTTAGCACAATAAGCATTGGAATCGTTATAGTCGCTGTACGCATCATGATGGTCAGCAATATTGCACCACTGGGCACAAGAAGAAGAAGAAGAAGGAACCGAGGGTTGCAGCATGCAAGACTCGCCGGTCGTTGTTGGCCTGTAGTTCTCGTAAGCAAAGTTTGTAAGGGGAGGGAAAGCCATGTTATTGTTGAGCGTGATAGGACTGTATTTTATTTCTGAACTCTTTGCAGATTCCCCACGTTCAGCAAGATTATTATTGGTGACATTGACACGGCCGTCATCGCTCAAACTTGTATTATTACTGTTATCGTCTTTACGAATAGCATGCTCATTGCAACCGGTTTTGTCAGTAGCACATCCACTTGTGCCATTCTTCCTTGGGCGATATACATATCCTGGATACATCTCCAAATGGATCTGCTTTGCTATCTCTTGCAGTTTGGTGTACTCATCCCTTAGCTCTATTCCTGCCTCTTCCCACAACCTCCCCGCAGCGACTGACACTTGAGGTACTCTGAGATTGTGGTTAGATACGTGGAAATGCAAAGCATTGCGGAACAAAAAAAAAGCATTTGGCGGACGCGGTGGATCGATGCGTTTTGATTTTGCTCGGCTGGACGAGTGGAGCAGACGGCGGATAAAAGTAACGTCGGGAATGGGAATGTCTGTTGCTTTGAGGGTTGATAGGATCGATAAAGGAGAGGCAATGGAGTGTGACGAAGGTTCGGTAAGTGGTAAGGTTGAAGAGTCACGGAAGGGAGAGGTGGAAAGGCTGCGTTTGTGTGAACGTTGTCTGGACATTATTAATTTGTTAATAGATTCGTATTGATGTTAAATTTATTTATAAGTGTGCTTTGGTACGTTCTATGGAATTCTATATATACGCCCTAAACTATATGGCTTTTGTATTCAGTTACGTATTATAGTCGCCCAGCCTTAACCCCTTTCTCCTTACAATACGCGACATTTAATGGTGTCTTTGTTTTTTGGTGTCAGCCGCATTTGTATAAATAGTAACCGGAATACATATATAGAATATTTATTGTCTACCTTTCTCTTATCAATCGTTTCACCAATGGCGCGACGAGTTAGCGTGTAGATAAAGTATACCACCTTTACCCATTTGTATCATGTGATATATACGTGAAATTTTATAGTACTTAATATTAAGGCAACTGTAATAGACACGTGTTTGTGCGAATATGGTAAAGGAGAAGCAATTTTTTCATTGAAACGAATGACTAACCAACTTTGTGATGCAAGTATGAATCCAGCTATACTCTTACCCGAAAAGGAATGTGGAAGACATTACGATTAGACTGACGACTTTAAAGTAAAATCATGTATGTAGGAATAGTAAAGTGGGCTAATTCCAATGAGCATGATTGCCATTGTGTGTGGTCAAACAGTTTTACGCAAAAACGTCAACTGGGCGAGATAATTAATATTTCTACACTGCTTTATTAAAATGAGTAATACTTTTCTTTTTTTTTTATATGTACATAAAATAATCCCATAAATACCCATAGCTCAAGGTATCTGGTTAACATGTAAGATGGCACCTATTATAACTCGGATGTATCACTGAGATTATTTGATAACCGACCGATCCGCTTGAAGAGAGTAAAAATTTAAACCACGACCCAGATTTATCTCGAGCTTCCGCTCCTCAGTAAATACCACCCTTCCCAACTACCGATAGGGCAAATTCCAGTTATGGTATATGCGGTAACCTATGCATATTACAAACTTCACGACTGAAATCCCTTGTATACTGTAGCCAATGTCAAGGATGTTGGATTCTCAAAAGTCTGAGTTGTCGAAGTCGTATAATAGTCGGACTTAGTAAAGCTTTCTATGATGAAATATTGAAACTTTCTCGAGCCGAGTCACAAGCTCTTATCCAAACGTTCAACGCTATTTTTGCAACGTGCTTGCGTTGCACACCAGCTAGATATAGATCTAGGATGCATCTAAAAAAGGTAAAGTCATCGACAATTTTCGTCCATCCGTGTTGTTTAGCCATTTCGCGGGCTTCGGACAAACTGGGTATTGGGAAGCAAGTCAACAGTTTCCCACAATAGTAGATCCAGGCCATTTTTACGGTCGTTTCTCTTAATTCAACTATGTGCTCCGTAACGTCTAACATAGAGTCGTGCAAGTACGTTACGTCCATTTCATTAAGAAGGTACTTGTATCCGGGAAGAAGGTACTTGTATTCGGGAAGGAGGTACTTGCTTTCGGGAAGGAGGTACTTGCTTTCAAAAACAAGGTTATTTGGCCTCATCTTTTTTTACCCTGTGAGAAAGGCTACTTCTTGAACGAATTCGTACTTTAAATACCTTTAATGCTTGCATGAAATTGGAAATCTCATAGTACAGAAAACGAAAATATTAGTCTTATCGCTTACATAATGATGATCCTAATCTGTTGTTTTTGCCGTCGTACTTAAAATCGTTTTCGATATAACTGGCAATTTATTTCTCTTAATGTGGATATGTACAATGCAACTATGGGTAATACATTCCATATGCATTGCAACATATCTGGATGTACAACTAATGCATTGCCCTAAGTGGAACGCACAACTTAATGCATTATGAAAAAATCCAATACGGCTGTTATGCATTACAATGTGATGAGTGATATCCATAATGGGATTGTCAACATACGAATATATTAATGCCCACCGAACCTTAAATGCATTCGATCCTACTTCGGTAGAGACACTTTTAAATGCATTCGACTAATTAAGATTTAAAAATATCTTGATCTTGTATGTATTCCCATTTATCGTTGACTAGTCAATACCCCCAATACTACTGCATTTACTGTATCAATCAAATTGGATCGTTTTTTCTTTCCAAAAACACGCACACGACCTATTCATTAATGCATAGACAATCCATAGCATAATCTAATTAGTGTTAACAAGAGTAATGTCCAATACTGTCGCACATATTCAAATAACCGAATAGGTTATGCTTATAAAGATATAAAGTGAACAAACGTGCAAAGTAGAAAGCCAAACCTCCCCCCCATCAACAACAACGGCCTATATACAAAATGTCAATCCAATTTAATCCCTGCTCTTGTTTAGAGTGTGGAAATCATATCATTAACAACGGCGAAAACTTCAAATACTATTGCGACATGTCCAACCCTTGTCACAT